ATGTTTATAAGTGGATAACCTCACTTCATCTTAATAGATGGAGAGAGTTGAGCACTTGTAGACAGACCAAACTCATGTTACCAAAACCGTGGGCCAGAGAAGCGATAAAGGTGCTTAGCTATTCGCGGAGCACCCTAAGTTGGCTGACCTCACTAATTACTGGACATGGCAACTTCAAGTATCACCTCAAAAAGATAACTCTTGCTGAGGAAGACACTTGCAGACTATGTCTAGAAGAAAAGGAGACAGCGGTGCATATATTGTGCCAATGTCCAGCACTGGCAAGTAGGAGGAAGATTGTTTTGGGACACCATTGGGTTGGTGACGACTTGGCAGGAAACCTCAAGCTAAATGAGCTGCTTGCATTAACAAAAGATGTAGTTATGCAAACGGAAGCCACTCCAGCTTTAACCCAATAACAACATCCGAGAATCGAAGGACGAAAAAGGACCCAAGTAGTTTCGTGCTCTACTTCGAATAATCCTTCACTTCAGTGGGGCCACTTGTTGGACAGTGCGCTGTCCCAACGTCCCACCATATATATATATATCTTACCTCTACTACTTACCTTCGGCTTGTCAATAACAAATGAAAAACATTAAGAATTATATGTATCTTTCCGGTTAAAATGGCCGTCTTGTAACAAGACTAGTTCTACGGAACTCATTGAAAGATACTGCATGAATATTGTAAGGATTACTGCAGTTCTTTCTGGTCAATGTATATAAGAACCCATGCAGAGTGAGTAAATATAAAAATAAAGATATCGAAAGATTGATTGATACTAATTTTATTTTAAAAATTAAATATAAACTTTCTTAAAACTCACTTAACTAAGAGAAATCAACTAAGAGAAACTCATTGTAAAAGTTTACAACTTTTAATACTCATTATATTAGTTGTGGAAACTTATTGGAAAAAAAACAATTAAGTATTTTCACAGTGGAAATAAGAAAACAAGATTTTAAAAAAAATCTAAAACCAATATTAGTGCCACACAGTGCATCAAAATACGAGACTCGTTAATCTCGATCAATGCTCGATAATTTTTGAAACAGCTTAGATATTGAAATAAATTGTTTCTTTATTCATTTATGACGGTAGTGACTATTTTACTTAATAGAAACTTTTCTATTTAATAGAGTAATAAATAAAATTTTTATTTATTTTCAATTAATTAGTTTTTGGCTGGCCATGCAACTGTTTCAAGTATTGCCAATCATCAGTGGTCTTGTAATTATTATTTTTTATATTTAATTATTTGTAAATAATTTTCGAGACTATAAGTACTGGAGGATTGAGCTCGTTGAACTTGAAATTTTTCTTAAATATGGTTTTAAAAATGAGTTTTTTTTGATGAATTTTGAACCCATTCGACTTACCGAAACTTAGAGAGTTGACCAAATGTGATTAACTTTCCGTTTTTTTTTTTGTTTTGTGAATATCTCAAAAACTATAAAATATATTTCATTTTAATATCTTTAATTGTTTGAGAAATGGTCAAATTCTCATCGATTAATTTTAAACGCCGTCTGTACAGTATGCACACATACTAAATGACACATTTATTGCCATATGACATATGTGCCATATTTTTTTTGTAATTAGTTTCCTATGTAATTGTGCTAAATTTAGCATATTATCTAAATCAGATGTCCTACCACAATATTAAATTCGTTGGGTTAATGATTGTTGCCTAAGCAAATGTTGCATATTTTTCAGGGTTGCTGCGTGCAATACTACTAAAACACAGTGTGGGGTTGCCCACTAATATAAATTATTTTGATGTCATTTAAATGCAATACAAAGATTTTAATAAAAATTTTTATTATTAATTATTATTATTTATAAACAAATGAATTATTTTATACGGAAGAAGAATCAGAAAACCATACACAAAGACTTATACGTTAAAACTACTCAAAATGAAAATGCTTAATATTGTACATATGGTACATATATCTCGTAAATTTGATATCATGTCAATTTTTATATATCGAAATGCAATAAAATTAACCAAAAAAAAAAACATTTTATGTACAAAGTTATATATTACAAAAGTATATAGAAACCATGTACACATGTAAATTTATTATGAAAATTATTTTGCAATGTGTAATTTATGTATACATTTGCACTTTTTTCACATTTTTGTGTACTTTAGTGAAAAAAAATTAACACTTCTGTTTCACATACTTTACATTACAACGCATTTCACATTTTCGATGTCTTTTCGACGTTATTGTTGTTGTTCTTGTTGTACAATTGCGTTACTGTTGTTGTTGTTGTTATTATTTTTACTGCTGTAGTTTTTATTTTAACATTAATTTTATTGTTTTTGTTGTTTTGTTTTTGTTTTTACTTTTGTTTTTGCTTTTGCTTTTGCTTTTGTTTTTGTGGGTTTAAGTTTTAATGCAGTAATTTGTTTGACTAAAATGGGGTGTGTCGTATGCATGCGTATGATTTCTTTTACTTTTTTTCCACGTTTTATTCCTTAAAATAGTGCATTATATGCAAAAATTTTAAATGATTACTTTGAAGCTCACAATTGATTGCTAATTTCATATATTTTGCAATTTAATAGTTGAAAAATCCATTCATTATTCAATATTCGATTTGATTTCTAATGATTGGCTTCAACTCATAACGTATGATTATTAAAATGATATATTAAGCGAAGCTATTGCAAATTATATGATTTCGTCCTTTCCATGTTTAAGAAAAAAAATGTACAAAAAAGTTATTTAATATTATAGAGAAATGAAAATATATAATACAGTTTATAATTACTTTTACTGAAGTAGGTTTTATTCTAGGCAGGTTCTATAACTCTTTTAACTCGGTATAGTTTACCTATAAAATTGGTGAATGGCCCATATCACACTTTTATCATTTTTTGGGCTTAATTTTAGTGTATTAATTTTTGATGCTTGGTACACTTGATGAATTCTGCAAATTGAAAATTTGAATACATGAACTCTATTTGCCTGTGTCTATGTATGTGTGTAGAAAAGCAAAAGAAAAAATTTTGAGAAATAATTTAACATTTATTTTGGTATTCACAAATTACATATAAATGTTTAATAATCATTTGTAATACCTGTACAATACCTATACCTAAGTGTAGAGTAAAACTTTTGGATATATTGAAAATATCCAAAAATAACAAAAGAAAATATTTTACATGTATTGTTTTCATCACCAAAGCATGAAATTTCAGTCCACTATATACCCTAAACTGTGTGAAAACTGTTATAAAAACTACTTTTAAAGCTAATCACTTTGAGTACATAAAATACATTTTATTGTGTGAAAATTTAACTTCGAAATATTTAGCTTTTTAAACAGTTCCAGATAATAAAATAAATATAGAATCCACTCATAATAACGTACAAAAATATAAAAACAAAACTGTGAAAATTATATTAAATATAATTATTTTACAAAAATATTCAAAGCTAATTTGTAAAAACTTAATACATATAGCTAAAAACTGCAATTACTGATGAAGAAATCGAAAAATTTTATAAAATAGGGTAAACTATAGTCCTCAGTCAATCACTTACTTTGGGGGAGTGGAAAAACCTTTCATAATATCAGCTATTTACAGTAATGATGCATTAATAATATACATTGTGACCGAAAAGTTTTCGGAAATTCTCATTTAAAATTCGCGCGCTGTATATTTTTCGATATTTTTAAAGTTTATTGTAGTTTGGCAGCACTGTCCTTAATTCTATGCCAAAAAATGAGCGCGATCTGTCAGACAGTTCGTTACGGCAGCTGTTTAAACCAGTTCACCTCAGTAGTGCGTTGCGAAAAAAACAATGGAAAAAAATATTGAACAAAGAGTTTGCATCAAATTTTGTGTTTCGAACGAAATTTCGTGTGCAGAATCGTTGCGAATGCTACAAAAGGCTTATGGGGAATCAGTTTTATCGAAAACTCAAGTTTATGAGTGGTACAAAGCCTTTCAGGACGGTCGTACGACCGTCGAAGACATGCCGCGTTCTGGACGACCTTCGACCTCTACCACCGACGAAAACATTGAAAAGGCAAAGGAAATCGTGTTCAAAAATCCTCATGTGAGTGTTAGAGAGATAGCACGAGAGCTAGGCATCGGTCGTGAGATGGCTCGTTTGATTTTGGTGGAAAATTTGTGTATGCGACGTGTCAACGCTCGGCTTTTTCCGATTCACCTCAATTTGTTCCAAAAACACCATCGTGGACAGGTCTCGTTAGACATGCTTGATCGTGCCAATTCCGATCCAACTTTCATGGAACGCATCATAACGGGTGACGAGACATGGGTCTACGAGTACGACATGCAAACAAGCCAACAATCATCGGAATGGAGAGGAAAAGACGAGCCGAAACCGAAAAAACCACGCCAAAGTCGCTCGAAAATCAAGGCAATGCTGATTGTTTTCTTCGATATTCGTGGTGTGGTGCATCATGAATTCGTCCCTGAAGGAC